TACATACTGACTCCATTTTTCAGAAACATATTTTCAATTTCTAAAAAATGGGACATGTCTGACATAGGTATGATATAATATGGGTGTGGACAACTATGAATGCCCTGATAAGATTGGTTGGATGGGTTACATTCAGTCTTGTATAACTCAACAATATTACCTGTGTGTCTAATAGGGATTGCTTTATTCCCTGATGTATGGTGTATATTCTAACGTATGACACAGTGACTATAGAAACCACATCTACAGGAAACAGCTATTATGTAATACGACTGTTGTAGTTATGTTCTATCAATGGAGAGGCACCAGTACATAAAGTGAGGCAGGTATTGTACTCGTGTTGCAGGGAATCGACTGGTTTTGTAAGCCCTGAAAGGCAATGATTATACAGCACTGGTGCTAAAGACCCAGCTTGTACCGTCATTGTGATTACATATTGTGAGTGAGTGATTTACGATGTGAAGGAAGTGTGTGATAATATTATGGAATGCTGCACACACACCTGGACACATAAACCATATAAATAGGACATCGGGTTGGCTTAGGGCTAGTGCCACCATAAATCTTGTCCATGTTTTATAAGAATGTGTAACATTGTAGCCAATGATAACAGAGTTTAATACCACAAAAAAGATGAATTGGCAAAAACAATATACACTGAAAAGAATATTTATGTGATATTTTAGTGTGAAGTTAATGCCTGGGTTATTGACACCCAGAATCTTCTAGGTTAATGTGTGTTCTAGTTTCCTCCAGTTGTTGTACAGCTATTTCCTGTGTGAATGTGATTCATGGTTTTAATAACTGTTGCAACCAATACAACGATGGCATTCTTGACCATGGGATGTAACAGGCTCATAACTGACATGCATGGTCTACTGTTCAACACACAGAGTAGGCCCTTGGGAAACACAGACCTGGTAACTGTAGGTGTGATTAACTTGAGGATCCTGACGGTGAATGGACCCCAGTAGGTGTGCAGCAACCACAGTTAACTTGTCTCAAACTGATTCTGACGGTGAATGTTGATACCCAGCCTACACTTGTCCAAACTGAGTACCTCCTAAGCCTTGTGAGTAGTCAGCAAAACTGACAGTGATAGTCACTGGTCTCAAACTGATTGTTGCGATACAACTGTTATAAGCCTAGGGTGATAGTCACTGGTCTCAAACTGATTGTTGCGATACAACTGTTATAAGCCTAGGGTGATAGTCACTGGTCTCAAACTGATTGTTGAGATACAACTGTTATAAGCCTAGGGTGATAGTCACTAGTCACTGGTCTCAAACTGATTGTTGATATGACTGTTATAAGCCTAGGGTGATAGTCACTACGACTGTTATAAGCCTAGGGTGATAGTCACTAGGGTGATAGTCACTGGTCTCAAACTGATTGTTGAGATACAACTGTTATAAAGCCTAGGGTGATAGTCACTGGTCTCAAACTGATTGTTGAGATACAACTGACTGTTATAAGCCTAGGGTGATAGTCACTGGTCTCAAACTGATTGTTGCGATACAACTGTTATAAGCCTAGGGTGATAGTCACTGGTCTCAAACTGATTGTTGCGATCTGATAGACTGTTATAAGCCTAGGGTGATAGTCACTGGTCTCAAACTGATTGTTGCGATACACGACTGTTATAAGCCTAGGGTGATAGTCACTGGTCTCAAACTGATTGTTGTTGCGATACGACTGTTATAAGCCTAGGGTGATAGTCACTGGTCTCAAACTGATTGTTGCGATACAACTGTTATAAGCCTAGGGTGATAGTCACTGGTCTCAAACTGATTGTTGAGATACAACTGTTATAGGGTGATAGTCACTGGTCTCAAACTGATTGTTGAGATACAACTGTTATAAGCCTAGGGTGATAGTCACTGGTCTCAAACTGATTGTTGCGATACGACTGTTATAAGCCTAGGGTGATAGTCACTGGTCTCAAACTGATTGTTGCGATACGACTGTTATAAGCCCTAGGGTGATAGTCACTGGTCTCAAACTGATTGTTGCGATACGTTACCTAGGGTGATATCAAAACTGATTGGGTGATAGTCACTGGTCTCAAACTGATTGTTGAGATATCGACTGTTATAAGCCTAGGGTGATAGTCACTGGTCTCAAACTGATTGTTGCGATACAACTGTTATAAGCCTAGGGTGATAGTCACTGGTCTCAAACTGATTGTTATAAGCGATACAACTGTTATAAGCCTAGATTGTTGCGATACAACTGTTATAAGCCTAGGGTATAGTCACTGGTCTCAAACTGATTGTTGCGATACGACTGTTATAAGCCTAGGGTGATAGTCACTGGTCTCAAACTGATTGTTGCGATACGACTGTTATAAGCCTAGGGTGATAGTCACTGGTCTCAAACTGATTGTTGCGATACGACTGTTATAAGCCTAGGGTGATAGTCACTGGTCTCAAACTGATTGTTGCGATACAACTGTTATAAGCCTAGGGTGATAGTCACTGGTCTCAAACTGATTGTTGCGATACAACTGTTATAAGCCTAGGGTGATAGTCACTGGTCTCAAACTGATTGTTGCGATACAACTGTTATAAGCCTAGGGTGATAGTCACTGGTCTCAAACTGATTGTTGGCGAGCGATACGACTGTTATAAGCCTAGGGTGATAGTCACTGGTCTCAAACTGATTGTTGCGATACAACTGTTATAAGCCTAGGGTGATAGTCACTGGTCTCAAACTGATTGTTGCGATACGACTGTTATAAGCCTAGGGTGATAGTCACTGGTCTCAAACTGATTGTTGAGATACACTGTTATAAGCCTAGGGTGATAGTCACTGGTCTCAAACTGATTGTTGAGATACGACTGTTATAAGCCTAGGGTGATAGTCACTGGTCTCAAACTGATTGTTGCGATACGACTGTTATAAGCCTAGGGTGATAGTCACTGGTCTCAAACTGATTGTTGAGATACAACTGTTATAAGCCTAGGGTGATAGTCACTGGTCTCAAACTGCCTCAGGGTGATAGTTGAGATACGACTGTTATAAGCCTAGGGTGATAGTCACTGGTCTCAAACTGATTGTTGCGATACGACTGTTATAAGCCTAGGGTAAAGTAATAGTCTGTCTCAGTCTGTGAACCACAATAATTTCCCCATCTGCCCAGTCTTAAAAGTTTATACGAAGCAAGTCTAGGTTTCCTCAGCTTCAGGTTCTGAATCACCCATCTCACTTGGACTCATTTTCTATTTTTTTTAAATCATTTGTTTCTATTATAAGTTCATATATTCAGACACTAACCGTTAGTATTGTAAAATATGGGCGATACGATCGTCTCAGGAATATGATTGCTTTGTGTTGATGTCTAGTACCACAAAATCATAAATCGTTACTTGTACCATCAATTCTCCTTTTCGCATGTGGACAGCAATCATAACGAAATATACTAATCCCTTAAAGCTATTGAAACATTTGCCAGACATAATAAGACTCATGGTCTTTCAGCACCATGCGTACAAGAGTTTAGGATTTGATGAAAATGTTAAATGTCTACATCAGCTGTTTCCTCCCATGTGAATATGTTGTTTCAATGTAATCAATGTATGTTGTTTTAAGTAATCAATTTGAGAAGGGTCTCCCCATTCATACCTGAAAACCCAGAATATTATACCATAATTAGTGTATGTTACTAAAACCTGTCAGTTTGGCTCTTTGAGGATTGAAACTTAATCTGATACAGAGAAACCCAAGACTTTGTCTGTTTATCATATGGAGTAAAGGTATTAAGCTGGGATAGATTTACTGCAGGTGCTTGTAAGGATATTAAGTAAGCTGTCAGAAGTATGTAAATATAGGTTTATATTGTGTATGTAATGTGTCATGATCATGATGACTGACAATCTAGTGGTGTGTTATCAAGTGGACTGTGAAAGGATAATCCCTTATAGAAGTAGTATACCAGAGTAGGATTTGATGGGAAGGTTGAGGATTCAGGTGTAAGTGCTTGCTCTGCACCTGTGAAGATTCACATGACAAACACTGTCTTGTATGATTCATAAACTGTATTTTCCCCTGGCACAGTTGGCTTCCTCTGTCCATTCTTCTTTAGGTTTCAGTGTGCACAAGGGTTCTCAGAGGCATACATCATTAGAGGCAACAAGTCTGAAACAATGCCCTGAGAATCAATAATTCACACCTTTTTTTTTTAACAAGGATGACATTATGCATATGACATTATGGTTAATGTGACATTAGGGTAATGTGTTCCTATTTAGTTCACCGCCTCCGTGGTATAGTGCTTAGAGCGTCCGCCCGGATCCCCAGCTGCGCCAAACCAAAAGATGTTAAAATATGGTACTTGTTGGTCCCTGCCTGGCGCTCGGCATTAATGGGTACAACAAGGACTGGTCGGCTCGGAGTCAGTATAATGTGTCTGAGTAGGGTATTCATGCTTAACTGTGGCATGGTATCTCAGTGAGTTAGCACTATAAAACCAGCAAAAGCCTGGTCTAGTACATGCAGCTGCACATACACATGCATACACATTGTCATATGAGTGAAATATTCTTAAGTGCGACGTTAAACCCCATTTCACCTCACCTCCTATTTAGTTCAGAACTCTTGAGAATTGATATTTGACAGAGTTGTGGTCCTTGTTAGATCTTTAGGACTGTGCTGGTAATCGGGACAAGAATCCTTGGAATCAGCTGTATGTGACATTGTGAATTTGGCATGAAACGAATATCACTGAGTTTGACAATAACCCCATGGTTTTATTTATTACTTTGCTCAAATGAGAGCTGATTTCAAGAGCATCACTTATGAACCTCTTAACACTTCGATAAATGTGTGTGTATTGCATGAATTGTTGTTCACTATATCAATCAGTTGATAGTCTGGTCCACTCTTTGATTATTTACAGGCTGCCATCATAAGCTGTTTGAGTGTGGCATTCGACAACAAATGCAAATAAAGATAACACCAGTTCACTTGTTCTGTTGCTAACCAACATATTTATTTTTCAGGTGGTATGACGTCCTTATCGAGTTTCCTAGATCCATGAATGCAATTTTGAAACCACGGCGGAAGTCCACACTAGGCCTGTGCAATAAGGAAAACGTGCAGGTGAGTTAAGCATCTACCCTCTTGATGTCATCTACTGACCCAGAGCTGTATACCCGCTAATACTACAACCTCATCTGACCCAGCCAACACTTGCTTACCTCCCCTTAATGTTGTCAATTTGAAAATGTGCAAGAGTATCTATTAATGATGAATGCGAAACTCTAACTCTTCTGACTCTAATATTTACCATTCTAGATTCTTGAAGGTTCAGAGAAGGTAGGGGACATTTTCTAAGATGTTTCAAGATTTTCTTGGTATAATGGTTCAGAAATCTTTCTGTCTTCTTTATTTTTTGGTTTACTCCAGATCTGTGTTGATGGTACTTCAGAGAGTTGGTAATCTTTCTGACTATGAAGTAGCATGTATTAATGGTGTTTGACCTACTCAAACATGCAGATAATATGTTTGGAATGGCAAAGCTAACCGTTTCTCCTGCAGCCTGAGGGATCTAACAAAAAGGGCGAAGATGGCAAGGATATCCTCAAGGGGAGATTCGAGGTTGAGAAGGTGAAGGGAAAGTCGGATATGCCAACATTTTCCACATTTAAGGGGGTTCGTAGTCTGAAGCACAAGTATGACAAGAACTACCAGGACGGCTTACGTAAGAGTAGCAGCTTACACGACTTGTCTTCAGAGGACAAAAAGGTTGATAGTGATTTGGTGTCGTCACGATTCCTCAGTCGATCAGGTGATCGTCTTGACTATGTCAGCAAAAATAACAGTCTGTACAACATCTCTGGTCATTCGAAGATCCTGTCAGATTCGAAATACACGAGTAACCCTTATTTCACCCTACCTCGTGTCAACCGCTCCCCAGCACTCCTCCTACCCAAACCCTATCCAGGAGCTACATCCACTCCAGTGTCGTCTGCTACCGCCCACTCCAACAGACGCAGTTCCTTTGATGACCGGCCACAGAGGAAGAATCTCTCTGCTGCAGAGCGCGCCCGGCAACATCGGGAGAGGTCGACCAGCATGAAGGACTTCCCCACCCAGCTGTCCCTCCCCCGGGATGATGGGTCGGGGGACATGTTGTCCAAAGTGCAGGACGATGGCGCCAGTGAAACCATGAGCACTGATGAGACAGAGAGCAATGAAACTGATGAACTTAAAGTAAGTATTGGCAGTGTTGATTGCTGTGTTCTACAAACAAGATCCATAATGTTTATTGTCTTTCAAGCAATGAAGCCCATGGCATGATAGCTTTGTAATAAATTTCTCAGATCATCTTGTAGTTAATTATTGTAGTTTTCAGATGAACGATATGAAAGAATTCTATTTTCATTTGCAACATTAAGTATTTTAAAACAATATCCTGCTAAGGAAGTGCATGTAATGTTTTATCATCTCTTAAATATTTTTCACTGATTTCTTTTCTTAAATTTTCTAATTGCATGATCAATTTTATTTCAATTTCACTGTCTTGTGTATCAGTGTCGTTCATCCTGTATGATATGCTTCTGTCTATGTACCCTGCATCACACCACTGTCTCCTGTATTACCTTCATTGTACATGTAACTCAGTGATAAGGGATCTAACCCTTGACAACTCCCTATTGAACTGTCCCCATGTGGTACCCTTTCCCTTCAACTACCTCTTGACCAAATAGACCCGCCCACTTTTGCCAAATCCTTACAGTGTGGACTATCATGTATCATTTGTCACATACGACATTATGTGGCGTTTTTGTCAAACTTTAGTAAAAGAGTTAGTTTTGTCTTTTCAGTTTGAATCATATGAGTCTTTGTTTGAATGCATTTATTTACATGTAAAGTCATTTATTCATCAGTGCTGCATATGTTCAAAATACTCATACCAAAGTGGTTAACCTCTATTAATTATCACCGATATTTATGTACTCTTGTCATTTGTATTACTTTAAAAATGGACATTTTCAGTGCCCCATATTCCACCCAGGGTGTTAAGGCTGATGGGTGGTGGGGTAGCCTAGTGGTTAAAGCGTTGGCTCGTCACGCCGAAGACCCCGGTTCGAATCCCCACATGGGTACAATGTGTGAGCCCATTTCTGGTGTCCCCCGCCGTGATCTTGCTGGAATATTGCTAAAAGCGGCGTAAAACAAAACTCACTCAGTCAGTCAGTCAGTTAAGGCTGATGAGCAATAGTTGTACCCTGCCAGTCACAGCAGGTGCATGAACATATGATGAAGCAAACGAGAATACCTGCAATCAATATCAGCTGTCGGGTGTTGATGACAGTCACTTGTTTTTTTCTGCCTGATGTTGAAATTGGACATTTCTTGTTACAATGATATGAGTTTTTTAATATTTTTCAGACATTTAAGGTCCATGTAGATCTGTTCTGTAATTTGAATCAGAAATCAACAATATTCAGGAATATATAATGTTTATGGTAGTTTTGAAAATGTGGACAAATCAGGGCATAGTTTGTATTTTGCAAGTTTATCATTGCTCTCTATTCCAAAATTGAGATGGGCTGATAAAAAAAATGTAAACAAATTTGGATGTTTATTTTCACTGATATATTTTATGAGCCTAACTGAAGGTAAGCTACAGTGCCTAACGACAACTTTTCTATGGATTCAAAGTCTAGTGAGCGGAATCAAAACACCCACAGTAAAAATATGGACAGTAACACAATGAGAAATGACCTACTTATCATTTTTGTAAAGGGCAGTAAGGTAGCCTAGTGGTTAAGTGTTCGCTCATCACACCAAAGACCTGGGTTCAATTCCTTACAATGGGCAATGTCTTAAGCCCATTTCTGGTTTCTAGTTTATTTATGGAAGGTACTTTAAAGTGTGACCACATAGCGCTGACTTAGGAGTCCCTGTGGTACTTTGTAGATGGCCCGCAGTTCTGAGATGAGTGCAGTTAACAGGGCCCACTCCCTAGCTTCCACCCCTGTCAGTCCTGACCCCAAGGGAACTAAATACGAGGCAAGTATATCAGTCAGGGTTCTAATTTCACAGCAATTGTTCTTGTAGTCAGTTTAGGAATAAATCAGTGACACTAATTGTTTATCAATTTTGTAATGTTAATGCGCATCTGTTCGCTTGGAATTTTGTAATGTATGTTTGATTCATGATTTTAGTTCTGCATGTAAATCCCCTTTTATGTTGAACTAATTGTAATATTTATGTGTGTTTTCCTGCACTGATTTTGAATTTTACCTCAGAAAAGGAAAACATGTTCAAACATAGTCATTCTTTTAATTGTGTTGTTATAAGTAAAGTTGATTTTCTTATAAGTTGAATTTTTCAGAAAAAAGATTGATTTGTTCTGAGGTAGAAAAAAAACATTTCTTATGTTGCTTCTGCAGTCATGTGACCATTTGTATTGTCTCTTCATGGATTCTGGAGCTTCGTACACAAATCATTTGCAGTTGTCTTGGTCAAACTTGGGTATTGTTCAATGTTAAATAGTTTTTTGTTTCTGGAATGTATGTCATTCGAAATGAGCAAATCATTCCAGCACATTTCCGTCAGCCTGTTGTGTACAAAGCAACACCCAGTCTTACACCAAACAGGTGCTCCTCAGTTGACAGCATAGAGAAAAAATATCTTGAAATAGCTTCCATCACATTAAAATAGACCTAGCCCTTCCAGCATACCTGTCTCAGAACGGCCTTTAATACGTCTTGTAGCTATGAGTTTCCGAAGACATATCCGCGTGGAATTAAGACGGATTATGAGAAATGAGAAGGTAACCTCTGGTAATTTCTTTCAGACTTATTAGTTTAAAGAAGCAAAATATTCCCTTGTCTGATTTCTAAAACATTGCTGGACAGGACTGGTTGTAATTTCAAAATTCTAACTTTTTTTAGGCTCTATCGTTTTACATTTGAGCATGACAGTTGACAGAATGAGAAAATGCACAATATTCAAGTTTGACCGATTATATTATTATTAATGGTGATGTCATCTAATGTGTGTTGTTGCTGCAGGACCTGGTCTACATGAAGAAGGGCTGGCTCATCAAGCAAGGCCCACTCGACAAGGTGAGGAACATCTTAGTGACCACAGGTGGATTGTCCCAAGGGGATTCTGGGTTAAAATATGTCCCCACCAACTTTAGCTGGCTGTAGTATGGGACTAATGGATCAGGTGACCAGGCATGGTGACTTCGTCGATTGCATGTCATAATATCCAGACACTGTGGATTGTTTCTCATAATATCAATCACCAGATAGTCTGATCCAGAGTACATTATTTAGAGGCCAGCTTCCATTGACTGGATTATTGTTGAATGTTCATAAAACACCCGGGTTCGATCCCCCGAACGTGGCCCGTCATACCAAAAGACCTTAAAATATGGTACTTGTTGGTCCCTGCCTGGCGCTCGGCATTAATGGGTACAACAAGGACTGGTCGGCTTGGAGTCGGTATAATGTGTCTGAGTGGGGTATTCATGCTTCACTGCGGCATGGTATCTCAGTGGGCTAGCACTATAAAACTAGCTTCAGTCTGGGCTAGTACAAGCAGCTGCACATACACATACACACACATGCACGTCGTCATATGAGCGAAATATTCTCAAGCACGACGTTAAACCCAATTTCACCTCACCTCATAAAAAAACCAACAAAACTCATGGATTATTGTCTTATGCTAGAGGGGACATAGACTGTCGTGATCTGAAGCAACATTATTCTCTGTGCAGAGTTACATCCCTTGATCATACAAGGATCAGTTAGCCCTTATGTGCTCTGTCAACACAAATGTGTATGGATGGTTTTATCAAAGTGGTAAATATACTTCACCTGCGTGACCACTTCGGATATGGTGTAGTATCACATAGTGTAAAACATTTGTCTCCAAGGTCTAAAACTGATTCCTGGCTCTTTTATGCAAGACTCTTATGACTTTAGGGACATTTAGGTAGTCTAGTGGTTGACGCGTTCGCTCGCCATGCTGAAGACCCAGGTTCAATTCCCCACATGGGTACAATTTGTGAAGCCCATTTCTGGTGCCCCAGCCGTGATGTTGTTGGAATTGTGCTAGAAACGGCGTAAAACTAAACTTACTCACTCACTCACATGACTGTACGTGTATCAACCATTGTTGCCCAGATGCCACTCTATTCCTTTTCAATTCCTTACTTTTACAATTCATCAGCTTTCGCCTTTGAGACACATATAGCATGGTTATTTGAATGGCAGTTTGATAGAGATCAGCTTGATAAAGATATTTGTAATCTAACAATATTGCGTAGATGCCAATTACGGTTATGAATATTTGTATAGCTGGGTGAAATCAACATGATTCTGTAACTCTATTAGCCTCTTGACAATACTTGAACTGTTTACGTTAGCAGAGTTACCTCCCTTCCTTTGCAGATCAGATTCTGATGCTGTGATATATTGCATTCAATTCTTTCTGTAATGATATTAATAGATTAAGGCAGTTTTAGCAACAAAGCACATTTTCAAGTGGGTAATTTCCTACATTAGATTTATGTTTAAGTAGTGAGTTATGAGAATAAAACATTTTAATCGGATGCTGTGCTCTATATATAAATTTATTTTTAAAAAACACAACACTTGTTTTCTTGTACAGATTTTTCTCTAAGGTGTAACTGAAATGTTTCAAACACACAGGCTGACTGGATAGAAGTAAAGTGTTTCAAATAAAAGAAATTCTTATATTGAACAACAATTCTAATATGAACATTATTTAGGTATTGGTCATTGTGTTATTAAGGGTGGGTGGAATCAGATCATGGAAAAAAGGTTGTATGTGTTGTTGGAGGGAATAAATAAATGATATAAAAAGAGGGTTGGTTTGTTTTTGTAAAATATGTTTCAGTGTTAGGACACATACCCCTGTAATAAATGACTGGTCGCTGAAACTGGTCTGACCTTTTGACATACAGGCATTTAAATATTTCCTACAACCACAAAGAGTGAGTGAGTGAGTTTAGTTTTTCGCCGTACTCAGCAATATTACAGCTATATGGAGGCGGTCTGTAAATAATCAAGTCTGGACCAGACAATACTGTGATCAACAGCATGAGCATCGATCTGCGCAATTGGGAACCGATGATATGTGTCAACCAAGTCAGCGAGTCTGACCACTCCGATCCTGTTAGTCGCCTCTTACGACAAGCATGGATTACTGAAGATCAATATTCTACCCCGGACCTTCACGGGTAACAACCACAAAGAACTCTATCAGCTGCAATATAGGTGCCAAGAAAATAAAACAAACTCTTCTTGCAGTGTCACTTTCTAAAGATCCAAATAATGTACTGGTTCCTTCTGTTTTAACAGGACATGAAAAAGCACTGGTTTGTCCTGGCGGGCAACTCTCTCCGCTATTACCGTGACGCTAAAGCTGAAGACATGAATAGTCTTGATGGTCGCATTGACCTTTCAACTTGTTATGAGGTGTCAGAGGTCAACACAGCCAGGAACTATGGTTTTAAGATCAAGGTAATTATAGAATGATATATCATTGTGTATAATGACACATCACAGGCAATCGTTATCAGCCTATATTCACTCCTAATGTGGCATTGATGGCCCAGTTGTCAGTGAAGCTGAAATCTGATAAAGAGTTAAGATGTCTCTTATGCATGCCAGGTTCTAAACATAGGTTTGAATCCAGGATTCACTCTGGTTATGATCCTTGGTTGTCAACACCATATCTGGTGACTTGTAGATTTCACTTTGAGCTTTACTATCACATTCAGCTCACAAACCATGATCTTAATGAACTTTGGTTGCTGTCCAAATTAAGATTTTTTTTAAGACCTTATCTTATTGTAGTGTCTTTTTCAACATTGTATCCTATTGTATTGCAGTCTTTATCAACATTTTAACTGATTATTTTGTTGTCCTTATCACAGTGGACCTTATTGTATTGCAGACCCGAAATGGGGAATACAACCTGGCGGCCATGACGTCCGGGATCAGGAACAACTGGATGAAGGCCATCCGCCTGTGTATGGACCTGCACAGTTCCGGTCGTACACACAGCATGCCATCATCTACCCTTACCAGCAAAACTCTGACAGGGGCACGGGCTGTTGATGATTTTGATGTCAGTGCCACGTCTGGTCAGACCACGACAGTTACCGGGTCCATGGGTGAAACTGCCTTCCAGTTGGTTGGGCGGAGAGAACAGACCAAGAAAGACACCAAGAACACAAGGAGGCATCATTCTGATGTCAATCCCGGAAATGTCAGCAAAGCTTTCTCAGTCAAAGAGTTTTCATCCAGCCTTGACCAAGTCCCAGCCGGTACCTCATCCAGCAACCAAAGCATCGGTAGTGATCGTAGCACTCAAAGTATGGAATATGAACACTCCAATATAGAGAATAAGGGATCACCCCGTCTCTCCCGGGGAACAAAGATCCCAAGACACCACATTCCTCCACAGGATCTTACGTGGCAGAGTGGCAACAATCCCCCACTGAAACGATACGTGGAAGGCAGCGACAATGCACCCACTGCTCCAGGTGGTGATACAGCCCGAGTTCCAAAACGTTCCATCATGAGTGAGAGCAGCAAGGAAGAAGAACAGAGAGAGAAAATGAGACGTGGGATGTCGCCGAGTGCAAGGGTGAAGGAAAAAACCCGACCTGCTAAAGCTGCCCGCATGCATTCCCCTCCCCCTTCAGATGATCCATATCACTTCAATCTGTCCGGCTCCAGTAAGGAGACCTACTCGGGAGACTCTGATAATGACGAAGTCGATATGGGGGACCGGAGTCTGTCACAGGTAGGCTGGGTGATATATCACCATATTCACTGTCTCATTGAAAAGTATGGTAGAGATATTATAATCATGGGGTTTTTTTTAATATCTTTGTGCAGTTTTTTCAACTCAGTTTTTCACTTACGGGACACAAGCGGCTGCAATTTCCTCATCAGAGTTGCATCCCTTGGGCTCATCAATCAAATGATTGTTGATTTGCATCCCTGTTCACCTTTATTTTGTTGCTGAGTTTATAAGCACCATATCTGTGCTCGTGGGTCACTAATGTGGCAAATTTCTGAGACCTTCCATTGGTCTTTTTCCCACATTTAGCTGGCATGCCGTAGAATATTGTTCTAAGTGGCATTAAACCCATCTCACTCACTCCCTTATTGTTGTAGAAAAATATAAGTCATAGTTTTTCTTAGTGGTTTTACTCAACTCAGTTTTGAACATTGATGTAGCATCAATAAAATATAGTATATGTAATCATTCTGTATTTGTAGGTGTTTTTTTCATATTTGTGACTTATACTTAATTATATTATTTTAAAAGATGCATGTCATTTTTTTCAGTTGTTTGAACATTTTGTTTCGTACTAATGGTTGTAATTGACCCTGAAGCTAAGTATGCAAACCCTAGCCAAAGCACATGACACCTGCATCTACACTGACGATGTACTGCCCCAATTCCTGCAGTCTATTCCATGTCCCCCAAACTATCTTCATATCAGCTGGAATGTGATTGAAATTTGAAGTTAATTAACACTAACATTGAGAGTTATAATTCATCATGGATATTTATGTAGTATATACCTAATAAAGATTTAATTGCTCTTTTGTTGATTAACTGTTGTGCTGAAATATGTATATGATTTTTATAATTTTTTATCATTGTTAAGATTAAATGTAAACAAAACCTTGTAATGTCATATTGCCCCAGCTAATTTGTATAGTAAATAATTTGCCTGGTATGACTCTACATAAAGTAGACACAATCTGTTTCAAGTGTCAACATATCAGGATTGGAATAGGTGCGTGTATGTTTCAATACATTGTTTGACATGCTATTGTACAGCACATATGTGCACATTACAAGTGGCCTGTATTACAGTACTGATTTGGCCTTGCCAGGTGCAATATGATACCCACTTGTGAAGTATATGAATAGATGTTGGAAACTGTAAATCACAGACTAGCAATCGTTTAAAGGTCGACATTATGTTTTTGAAAGCTAATGGATTTTGATTGTTTATTAGATTGGAATTTGATTTATTATTGAAATTATCTAATAATAAAATGCTGTCAAAGAATTTCATTGATGATGGAATAAGGGAGATAACTCTGTTTTAGGACCAGTTTAATGATGAACAGATGCGATCTGAAGATGACGACAACATGATGGGTGGAGCTTCGTCAGGGTCCATCAGTGATGGAGGAGGGGTTCTAGTGGAGTTTCTGGAAACAGAGGTAAATACTGTAGGGAAACTCAGATCAGGCAGTTTGTTTGCAGTGTTACACATAAAGGGTTAAAAGGAAGGGTCCTTGTGCTAAATACTAGTTATAGACTGAGTGAGTGAGTTTAGTTTTACGCCAACTCAGCAATATTCCAACTATATGGCGGTGGTCTGTCAATAATCGAGTCTGGACCAGTCAGTCCATTGATCAATAGCATGACCATAGATCTATGCAAATGGGATACGATGACATGTGTCAACCAAGTCAGCGAGCCTGACCACCCGATCCTGTTAGTCGCCTCTTACGACAAGCATGGGTTACTAAAGATCAATTCTAACCCGGATCTTCACAGGTTAGTTATAGATTGAGGATATTCTACAGTGACAAGCCTCAGAGGCCACGAGACCCTTTCATCTCACTATTACTGAAGTGGTGGTTCCTGTGATAGTGGCCTGTAAATAATGGATTCTGAATCCAACCGACCTGTGATCGACATCATGAGCATTCATCTACACAACTGGGATATGGTGACATACATGAACCATATGACAGCTCGATCTTGTTAGTCACCTCTTACTCCCTTTCTTAGAAGTAGAAATATTATTCATAAAATATCTGTGAGTGAGTTGAGTTTTATGCCGCACTCAGGAATATTCCAGCTATATGGCGGCGGTCTGTAAATAATAGAGTCTGGACCAGACAATCCAGTGATCAACAGCATGAGCATCGATCTGCGCAATTGGGAACCGATGACATGTGTGAACCAAGTCAGCGATTCTGACCTCCCGATCCCGTTAGTGGCCTCTTACGACAAGCATGGGTTACTGAAGGCCAATATTCTAACCCGGATATTCATTGGTAAAATATCTGTACATGCTTGTGACATTAATTGATTAATGTCTCATTAGAGATAAGAATATCATACTATGTAAGGAATTCCTATTTTATCAAGCAAGGTTGTTTGAACAATGTTTGTTATACAGTAGACTAGGGTTAAAAAGAATTCCAAGAGACTACTAGTTTTAGCATGTTAACTGTGGTTGGGTAAACACATTTTAACGAAAATATTCAACATATGTTCGAACCAAACACACCCAGTTCATTATGTCCATCACTTCATTATATGCTAGTTTTTAAGATAAATGTAATTTAACAGCGGCTTTTCATGTGGAAGTTAATGGCTTTTATATACTTTATTGTAAGATATGATTTCTAAGGGATGTTAATTAGCAACTTCCATCTGAGGACATTCTTGGGCAGAAAAGGTTTTTAGTTCACCTTGCCTGTTGTCATATCAACCATAATAATGATTGGTGATTGCAACTATAACTATAGCTGTTATACGCCTGTGGCATTAGACAACATGCATACTCTGATACAGTTGAAGATTTGTGCAGTAATGTTGGTTTATAGATTTGGGTATTGTGTTGAACAATTATACTAGACTAGACCTGTGAAGGTCCGGGTTAGAATGAATCTTCAGTGACCCATGCTTGTTGTAAGAGGCGACTAACGGGATCGGGTGGTCAGGCTCCCTGGCTTGGCTGACACATGTCATCGGTTCCCAATTGCGCAGATTGATGGTCATGCTGTTGATCACTGGATTGTCTGGTTCAGACTCGATTATTTACAGACCTCCGCCATATAGGTGGAATATTGCTATGTGCTGCATAAAGCTAAACTCACTCACTGTTTATGTTTTTATAACTTCATTTATAAATATTTTGTTTACAATGTATTTGTAATGCTAGAAGTAGTCTGTCTCACAGTCCCTGACCCTCATTATTTTCCCTACTGCCTAGCCCTATCTGCAATGCTAAAGCCCTAAATGAAGCAAGTCTAGATTTCCTCAGGTTCTGAATTTCCCATCTCACTGGGTCTCCTTTTCTATTTAAATGTTACTATCAAAATTATATATATTCAGAGACTAAGCATTAGTCTATGCTAGAGGTAAAGAGTTAAATTCACTAAACAGTCTCAGCCCTGGGCAGGATTATGGTAATACTGTCTAACACACCAACGAAGAGGATATGCTTTTAAACCTGCAGGAAATTTGTCCTTGTGGTTTTGTGATGACTTCCCCTTATGGTTTTACGTCATTATCTAGAAGAAATTACTTAGCATTATACCTATGAAGACAATGCTCTGCCTCACATTGTGATTGGGTGTTTTCTATAGTGATATATCTCTTCGTCTGATGAATCCTGTCCCTTTCAAGAGAGTTAGATTCAGGGTTGTCAGGGTCTGCTGCCACATTTTATTATCTGGTGATGGTACCCAACTGGTTCATGTATTTGCTTGTCACCCAAAAGACCTGGGTGCCATTGTATAAAGCGATCTTACCATCAACATTGACTAACAATAGTTTTAGCTCTAACAGACACTCTGGGTTTGAATGTTTGGTGTCCCACACTTTGGGTATCCTGTATCATGAATTGAATAATGCTGAAAAGGGCATAAATCTCAACTCAATAATTTCCTGTGATATTTTGTCGGATTGGCTGTAATGGTACATGGAGTAAATGGTGTGTTTCCAGGTGGAATCCCTAAAAGATCGGCTGGAGAAATCTCAGCACGACCTTGCCAAGATGCATGAGACAAACCGTGATCTGAAGAGTCGTCTTCACACCTCAAGCTCACAGGTAAGATCTGTTTGTTTGTATATATCACCTAGTCTGGCTCCAGGCTGGCTCCAGGCCAGTTCCAACCTTGTAAATGCGCATCATGAAAAGGTCATCTATGCCTTTTCTCCAACTATGATGAGCCAGCCATGAAAACAAGTGAACAAATCTGTTATAGGTGATGTCCTGAGAAATAGAATTTATAGGACATGAGTTCTTGTCAGTATGAATGATATGAGTTAGTGAGTGAGTATAGTTTTACGCGGCTTTTAGCAATATTCCAGTAATATCACTGTGAGGGACACCACAAATGGGCTTCACAAATTGTATCCATGTGGGGAATTGAACCCGTGTCTTTGGCATGACAAGCGAACGCTTTAACTACTAGGCTACCCCACCGACCCCTGAATAATATGATTATGTTCACAAGGACTGCTAAGAAGCTGAACCTTGCTGATATTGTAGTGCTTTTTGTACATGTTGGACTGTACAAATATTTTATCTTGTATGTGGCTGAGCTGAACAATGATTGTACTTAATCATATTTTTTGGCATAACAAGAGACAAATAACATCCTTGTATTTAGGTTTGAAACAGATTTACCCTGAAATAAATACTAAATCACTGACTCTTGATGTGAAACCTACAGACCTACTCTAAGGACAAACAAATCTGTTACAACATAGAGTGGGACGTTAGGGTAGCTGGGTATAAAACATGAGCTCGTCACGCCAAAGACCCAGGTTCGAATCAACACATGGGTGCAGTGTGTGAAGCCCATTTCTGGCCCCGATTTCTCGAAACAAACTTAAGTTTTAACTCAACTGCATTTTATTAATAAAAAAGACGAAACAACTACAGTAATCTATCCACCAAACTCAAATTGTCTACTAAGTTTGAGTTTAATATAGAATTCAGTTCCTTCTGGGAAATGCGCTTTCTCAGATTTGAGTAAAACTCTTACTTAAGTTGAAACTCAGACTTAAGTTTGTTTCAAGAAATCGGGGCCTGGTGTCCCCCGCCGTGATATTGCTGGAATATTGCTAAGTGGCATAAAACAATACTCACTCACTCTTCATTGGGTAAGGTGGTGGTTGGGCAAGATCAGATCTGAGCTGGTGTTATATTTTGTAATTGACAAAGAGCACTGGTTCAGCCTGTGCAATGATTTTGTACATATTATGTGTTGTCCATTTCAAGAAAGCAGCTCTTTATTTCAATATCACCCAGACTGGCTCCATGATGAGGCACTGTCAATGTGATATTTAATCCTATTTCACTGTCACACTATCTACAGCAGGTTCATTTATGGGCTTTCTGTAGTCAACTTCACACTAGAAACTGTTTTTGTTTTTAAACAACAGCACCTCTCGTTCAGCCAGTGCAACAACCTTGTACTTGATACAAGTTTTACGAAGTGACATTCCTCTTGTTTTACTATCATAATGTCAGGTATTTGTGTGAGTTGTCAACTTTACTCAAAGGGGTTCCACCGAGAGCGGAAGGTCGCGGGTTCGATCCCCGACAGCGTCATACCAAAAGACCTTAAAACATGGTACTTGTTGGTCCCTGCCTGGCGCTCGGCATTAATGGGTACAAGAAGGACTGGTCGGCTCGAGTCAGTATACTGTGTCTGAGTGGGGTATTCATGCTTCACTGCGGCATGGTATCTCAGTGGGCTAGCACTATAAAACCAGCTTCAGTCACGCATGCACGTCATCATATGAGGGAAATATTCTCAAGCACGATGTTAAACCCAATTTCACCTCACCTCACCTCACTCAAAGGGGTATACAGTTAAAGAAATTTTCCCTAATGTTACATATGAGGCCCACTTTCAAACAGAGTTGACTCGTGCCGTCAGAAGTACCTTTTCCTTTTAAAAACTCTGTCAAGTACATGCTGAAACCAAGGAGGACTTCACTCAAAGTTTTTCTTCAGCGGTTGTAACTTGGTGTAACTTGACTCCTTACAGCAGCTAGAGCTCTTTGAAATTAATCTGCACAGTTTTTTACAAGGAACAAGGCAATAAAATGACTATGTATAGATTATGTGGCTGCTTTTTGAAGTAGCTCTCCCACAGGAGTGAATTAATGATCCATGACGTAAAAATATTACCATATGTGTTGATTCATTGTCTTGTGAACAGTTCACCCCAGTGAGTGCTTCTGTACAATTATGAGCTTCGGCCTGTATCAATGAGCTGGTTGATTTGACTATAAGCCTGTACAATGTACTCTGAGCCTTGTTATAAGCCCAATCTATGTAGCTGGTTGATTTGACTATAAGCCCAGGCCTGTACAATGTACTCTGAGCTGGTTGACTTGATTATAATCCCAGGCCTGTATCTATGTACAAATAGCTGGTTGACTTGATTATAAGCCCAGGCCTATATCCATGTAAAGTTAGGTGGTTGACTTGATTATACAGGTGATAATAAGCCCAGGCCTGTATCCATGTACAATGAGCTGGTTGACTTGATTATAATCCCAGACCTGTATCTATGTAAAGTTAGGTGATTGACTTGATTATAAGCCCAGGTCTATATCCAAGTAAAGTTAGGTGGTTGACTTGATTATACAGGTGATAATAAGCCCAGGCCTGTATCCATGTACAATGAGCTGGTTGACTTGATTATAATCCCAGGCCTGTATCCATGTACAATGAGCCCAGGCCTGTATCCATGTACAATGAGCTGGTTGATTGATTATACAGGTGATTATAAGCCCAGGCCTATATCCATGTAAAGTTAGGTGGTTGACTTGATTATAATCCCAGGCCTGTATCCATGTACAAATAGCTGGTTGACTTGATTATAAGCCCAGGCCTGTATCCATGTACAATGAGCTGGTTGACCTGATTATAAGCCCAGGCCTGTATTCATGTACAATTAAGTGGTTGAGTTGATTATATGCAAAGCCCTTTATCAAACTAACTGTTCCTCAGCTTGACAGGAAACATAGCTTGATACATGTTTTATGTATACGCCGTGGTTTACATTACTTGCTTCAGCAGTTCACTTGGGACACGGGGACTAAATGCAATAGTTGCAGCATGTGGTATAATGATCTATAATGTACTGGCGTGTTGATGGTGCCAGGTGTTGAGTGGATTGTATAGCCGTGATATTACCTTCTGGCTTGGAAGAGCTTCAGTGTATGTTGTAGCAGCACCTAGGTAAGATACTTTTGTTGACTTTAGACCCAACATGTAGTCGTGTGCAAGTGCAGTGTGAGTGAGTGAGTGAGTGTATATATTTGATGTTTAATACTTGTGTTTGGGGGATTTTGAAATGCATTAGTAAGTGAGTGTTTTGTGTGAACAACATATATATATGTCATACATTGTTGCAGCTGACAGTCACGGGCCATGAACATATGTGTTCCTGTTGTCTCCACTTGAACTGTTATTGATAATTCCCAATAATTTCAAACTACTATCAATAATAACATGAGGATGATGACCCTAGGATATTCATCCATAGATTTAAACATGAACATGTGGGACCACATCCACTCTCATGCTGTGCATGCGTTCACAGGTATTATCAGTTGTTATGGAGTGAGATGAGTATGTCACGTGTCCACATTATGACATTGTGTAAAATCGGTCACATACTGATGGAAATAAATAAGGGAAGATATGAAGGTACAATTGTTCCCTTATATTTTCTGGGGCGGTGGGGTAGCTTAGTGGTTAAAGCGTTCGCTCGTCACGCCGAAGACCCGGGTTCAATTCCCCACATGGGCACAATGTGTGAAGCCCATTTGTGGTGTCCTCCGCCGTGATATTGCTGGAATATTGCAAAAAGCGGCGTAAAACCAAACTCACTCACTCACTCACTTTATATTTTCTCAGATTTTCACCCACAGTGCAATACAAAGTATGTAAAGAAACCTGTGAAAGAATATGGGTGGACTTGTACATGTGTTCCCTTATTTGTTTCCATCAGTATATTCTAATCCTATGGTATGATGTGGGTTCTGACATTGCAGTATCTGTCAGGTTTGTGATGTGAGTGAGTGAGTTAGTTAGTTAAACGCTGCTTTTAGCAATATTCCAGCAATATCACAGCGGTGACACCAGAAATGGGCTTCACACATTGTACCCATGTGGGGAATCGAACCCGGATATGTGGCGTGACGGGCGAACGCTTGAACCACAAGGCTACCCCACCTCCCCTGTAAAGTGCTCATATATTCAGTGGAGTTTTAGATATTGCAGTTTTTCCTTGATCAGTGGGCACCTATATGTACTTTAGAAATATATGAACTTTTGATAGCTGGTACGTTTGTAATCTATTTACAGATATAGATTAAAATAACTTGACAAAACATTTATCAAAAGTATATAACTTCATATTATGAGAAAACATGACATTTTAGCCTGTGAGGGTTTGCACAGAAAGTCATTTGAGTATTGTAGCAATTTCATTTGATTTAGGTATAGCAGGCAGCAAAGATTTGAACATTTGGGCTAAATGTCATTTAAACTTTGGACGATTTCAGTTTATGTAAACAGTTGTATGCTGCAAGTTTTGAAGCTTTGGACTCAATGTCATTTGAATATTGTAAGAATTTTGTGTGATATTAACAGTGGTGTGCCTTTAAGTGGCTTTTTTTTTTTCGTTTTGCCGTTGCGTTTACAAGCAAATATGTGTATGTCCACACAGACATGGTGTATATGTTGTGTTTGCTTTGATGTTGATGATATTTATGCAGAGACTGCACCAAAGACTCCATTATTATTCATGTTTTTTTCTGAGTCAGCCTTGACAAATATACCATTGGTTTATCTAAATAGGTCTTTTCAAGCGTACGTGTGCTTTACATAATAGTGTTGAATAGAGATAGCATCACAAACAGTTATCTGAAACTGGATGTAAAAGTAAGATATGTTAGTAAATACGGGACTTAAGTCTGCATATCATTAACCCTTTATGGTGTATGAGACTTTCATCCCTACATGAATTATGCGGATTATAAGCTCTCCAAGATTGCAAAATTGGCAAAGTAGTTGGT